TCTCCAGTGGGGCTCCTTGCATTTCAAATGAGGCAGAGACAGGAGTCACTGTCGGGGGACTCGGGCCTCAGCAGAGGGGCCTCCTTTCCGGAGAAGTGGAGCCCAGGTAGTGGAGACTCGCCCTAGGCCTCTGGCGAAGAAAGCTGAGCCAGTCTGCAAGGAGACGCCCCTCCCTGGCTGGGGTGGACATTGGAGTCATCTTCTCCCCTCTCCCCCCCAGCATCTCAGCAATGGCTCACGGACCCTTAGATTCCAAGCACCACTCTCAGCCGTGGGCCAGTCTGAGCTGGAACCGGAGGAAGAACCTGAGCCCTCCTATGTGCCAAGCACCACGCACGTTGCAGAGTGACAGGATGTGAAAATGTGCTGTTTATTCCATGCATTGTTGGATTACAGTCTCTCGGTGACAGTAATGGGTAGATGCTCCACGTGAGCCAAAAGCAGTTCAGACCCACCTCCAGGTGCCTCAGAAGAAAGGACTGGTGATGGATTTCTGAAGCACCACAGAGCAAAGCTGAAGGCCACAGGGAGGGCAGTTCTGGTCTGCACGTGTGGGGTCCCGGGGTTGGCATGAGCTCCAATGTACAAACCGCAGCAGTGATGGAACCAGACTCCGAGCTGGGAGGTCGCTGTTTGCTTTTGAGATACATATTGTTGGCGTCCACAGTTCCAGGTAAGGACATAGAGTCGGGAAAGTACGTGCCCAGGATCATGAAGACAAGCCAGGTGCAGGCTCGCTAACCTGTAGATCCAAAGTCCAGTCCATAAGCCCACTTATAACCTCATACAATCATACAATGCCATCTTCTCAGAGCCCCATGAGGATGACATTGCTAAAAATAAGTGGGTTAAGGCATAGAAATGGATTGTGGGATAGTTAGGTTTATTGTGCCAACTAGGCTTCTGTAGGGACAGATAGGCGGAGTTTAATCAGGCCCCATCTTGAATGGAGGGCGACCAAGATAAATGCTTCCCGAGGCCGGTCTCCTCTCTTTCTCCCTGGTGACCGCACCAGAGTGCTGCTGCTTGAGCTAGTGCTTTGCCTCAATCGTGTGTTGCACTACCTGCGGGCCAAGCCAACCCGTGGATCTGGTCACCTGGCTGTGCATCCCTAGAGTTTGAGGCTCCCTCGAGACTTGCTTCTCCACACTACTAGGGATCCTGTTGGTGTGCATGCGTCCCTCAAGTTTGAGACTCCCTTGGGGCCTGCTTCCTTTACTCTGCTGGCTGTTGTGTCCCACCTGCAGTCTGCTGCCTGCAGGCTGACTCTGCGCTCTGCTTCCTTGACCTTGGAACAGCAGCCAGCATGAGCTGAAGGACCTTCAGTATATTAACTGTTCCATGAAAGTGAGCTGAACTGAGCCTTCTGCACTGCCGCGTGGACTAATTAGCTGTTGTATTCCTTCCCATTATATAAACCTATCCATAGACAGATAGATAGATGATAGATAGATGTAGAGATCGATATATAATCATAAGTACCCTGGTTTTCTTTCTCCAGAGAGCCCTGCCTAACACAGATTGACACTTGGCAACGCTCCTGAGGGCACGTGGTCACTGGAAGGTGGGGTTTGAATCACAATGCCTGACTGAGCACAGTCACACTGAGCAGTGTGGCAAAGTCCTCCAGAGCCTTAGACAGCCTTTTCCTAATCCAAGTGTTGAGCTTCTATCTAGGCCTCAAGACCCCGCTCAAACGGCCCCTCTCACGTAAGAGTCCCCTCATCATTCCGAGCATGTGAGGGCTCCCTCCCCCGGGCACTTAAATGGACAAGATTATTTCCCTGGTTGCATCTCTCCCCTATTTGGCCATATCTCTGAGGAGGGTGCTTTTATGATAAGGAGACATCCCTGGCTAGGGGTGGAGTCAAACCTGCCAATCAAGTG